CCCAATCCACAACAAAATGTACTACTTCGTTATTTGGTAATGAGATAAATGTTAAAGCAACCTTAATGGCTCTTTGGTAATTTTGTGTATAATTGATTAATCAATATAAAGGACAATTAACATGTATGTGAGAGAGATATGTTTAGGGATTTCCCAAGGCCCAGCACTTTTAGAAATAAACAAGTGCTACTCTGTAAAACTAGGGACATGAGGACCTGTTATCTTATTACAGTAAGCAGTACACATGGACTATACATGTAGATTGGATATAACAGATCCAGGATAAACTTACCAATAATCACAACATACAATGTACATGTTGCACTGTCCTGATTAGGGACCATAATTGTTGGGTTATCTTCCATAGGCTACATTTTACTGAGCCAGCAGGTGGATACATGTAACTTTTCTAAAGTAACTGTTTAAACCCAGTGCCATTCAAATCGAGAAAAACGGATACAATTATTATTCTTTGAATTACCCCAATCATAAATCAATGTGTGAGGTATTCTAGTTCTAATGGTCCGCTTGCTATAATTAATTTTTCAAAGGTCAGGAAGCTACGAGACTATAATTTTTCCCCGCGTTTAGGCAGACGCTGGTTTCGAGTTTTCAGATCGGCCGTAGCTATCAAGGGACCAGAAACATATATTCTCAGTGCAAAATCAAAAGAATCCGTTTAGATATGAGATGAATTAACACACAGTGTGGTCTAACTAAAAGTAGTTTAGACATAGATAGACAATAATTTAAATCTAGCGATGTATGGTCATGTATAGGACATGTAGGAGAGGAGCGCGCTCCGTAGAACACACGTAGCTTAGACACCGTACCGGCGCGCCAGGGATGCGCGTTCTATTTGGTGTAAATTTCTGCCTTTTCCCGTAACATGGCCTGACGGAATTTCGGGGGAAACCCGTTTCTCCCTCGAAATCAAAAGTAAGTCAACTACTATCAGAAAGTTTAAGATTTGCTCTTTCTCAGCCAACAAATTTCCTCTTGGCGCGAAATCTGCATCAAGGCGAAAATACACGGGGAAATTGCACCAAAATTGCTTGCCTACTCCCGTGACATGGCCTTACCGAATTTCGGGGGAAACCCGTTTCGCACTCGAAATTGAATATGAGTCAAATATCATCAGAAAGTTTAAGATTTGCTCTTTCTCAGCCAACAAATTTCCTGTTGGTGCGAAATCTGCATCAAGGTGAAAATACACGTGGAAATTGCACTAAAATTGCCTAGTTTCAGGTCATGATATCGAAAGGGGAAAGGTACATTCTCGGCTCAAAAAACATTGGGAGCAAATTAGGAAGGCTAAATATTATTAATAAGTTACAATAAGGAAGATATGTGATTGTATAATCCCGCGGTAAGCTTTCTTGTGAGGCGTGTCGACGCCCGGAGCCGTGGAACGGACTACTTTCTCTCGCGGAAGGAAAAGAGAAACGCATAGAACTCTCGACGTGGCTTTCCGGCTGAACATTCCTAATCTATTAAAGCTTTCTTCGATAATTGTCTAATAATTATCACACATAAACATGCCCACATTGACCTTAACGTACCCAGTAATGAGAGGTCTAGTATAGTCCAAAACCCGAGAATCCGCCATAAAGACCCCTCAGTTACGGCTGGCGTTATGTATGGCCCAAACCAACGACGCTTGTTTTTGAATCAGTAGATGTTACTCTCTCAAACAGTGGCGACATTTGTTTGTTTTTGTTATTTTTTTCCATGATATATACATCATTAATCACAGTTATATGGCTGATAAGAAATCCAGGTTTGTTTTTGATGGGTTCACAATGAAATGTACATTATAACAAAATGCCTGCGCATTCACGTAAAACAGTAAACGTTACCGGGCTTATCATATTCCCGTTAGGATTTAAAAAAAAAATCAAATTTCCTGGCCAACCCCACCCTCCCATCAAAAAATATTCCTAGGAACCACCCCCTGTGGCCACCTCCCGTGCTCATTTTTGTAGGCTCTTCTGTACATCTGTGTGTGTGTGTGTGTGTGTGTGTGTGTGTGTTTCCGCACATTTGTAGTCAGCATAACTTCAGAACGCCTTTATGGATTGTAATGATATTTTGTTATGTTTTTAGATCATAGAATCACAAATGTCAAGGTCAAATCTGAGCCTCCTGGTGGCTGACCTTGGTACTGCAGCAGAACTTCCGGTTTTTGTATCTTTTGTCCAGAACATGCTATGGTCTTGACTTCTTGGTGACAGGTAGCTTATGCTGCCCGGAATAAGTGGTGTGTTGGTCCCGCTTGTACTGGAACTGCAAGGCACTTTCTGTCGAAATCTTTTAAAG